GATACTGTCAAATTCTCTTATAGATTTCTTAATGTTAATATTAGATACATTAAGGAATGCATCATAGTTTGTTTTGTTTTTTTGTCTTCTTTTCATTTTGTCAAATACTTTCAATCTTATCCAAGATCATCTTCAGGGGTGAATTGCTAAGACAAAAAAAAATCAAAGTAACTGATAGTTGTGATTGTTTTCCAAACACATACAAATGCACTGTCACAATTGTTTTTAAAATTAAATGTTTTAGCAATATTGTGTTTTCCATACTTTTGATCTAAGGGAGGTAACTTAATCTATGTAAGAAATGTATAAGAGAATTTGAGAGGATCAAAATAAAAATAGATTAGACATAATATCTCCAGATTATTCAACTAAACATGCTTGAATGAAGATATTCTGCCTATATATATATATATATATATATAACTTTTAGCATTTCTTTTTGCTTCCTAAGTGAGTCAAGACTTTCTAGGAGGCAAATGTTATTAAAGGCAACAAACATTTTGATCGACTTTTCCAAATTATGAATAATCCTTCTCAGATAAGATCATGGATTGTGCAACATTCACTATCTCTTATTTATGTTGTTTTTTTTTTGTGAACTTTTTGCCGTTCATTATGGCTCGCAAGCATGAGGCAGACTCATAGGTGATTTCCAAGCTATGTTGAAAATCAGGTTATGTCGTACCATAGGAACGGATCTCCAATGTAAGTCAAGGACCCCCTATATATATGTTTTATATTTGCGGTACTTAGTGGAAAGCACTCAATATCAGTGATAGAGCTAACATAATAAGTTGTATGGATATGAGTTTGTACCTCTGGATTTCACACTTTTGTGATCATCAGAAAAACTGGTTATATGGATGCGTTAATATGAACTAAAATGTGTACACCTGTATGTATGTGTCTACACATATGATAGTGCCACACCAAACAAACACAGAAGTAGATTCCCTCCTGACACCAAACAGTCAAATAAGCATAAACAGATCCAGTTTTAAAAAATAAACCTGTTTGTCTGATGATCACAAACTCATAACCAAACATTATATATATATATATATATATATATATATATATATATATATAATGATGAACTCTACTGACAGAGGGTACATGAGAGATTATTTAAATTTTTTTTAGATAATGGTTTTAGTAACACAAGTCTTACTAATTAACCCATTGTTGGAGGGAGAGGAGGTGGATTCCTTTTCCAAGGGTTTTTAGGTGTAAGTGTATACAACAATCCCATCTGGATTTGGACTTGTCTCTCTAATAATTCTGAGCTATTATCATTTATGCCACCCACACATCCAAGCATTCAGCATCTAGTAATCTCAAGCAGTCACCCATCTAGGTACTGACCAAGCTTGACATTGCTTAACTTTGCTGAATCTAACACTCCAACATATCTGGTTCCTGTATAATCACCAATCATAACTTTTTTGGTTACAATCCAAGTGGCTTGGAACAGTAACAGGCTGCATCTCCTACTAAAGGTCACGGTTTCTAATTTTTCAAGACGGCATCTCCTTGTTGCCAGTGATGTTCCTCTACCAAGCTTATCTAAGATGTGATCTGAAACAACAGTGTGTTGTCACATGCACCACCATCTTTTATGACCACAGTGTATTCCAAAGGTGGGATTTGTAATGAAATATACAGAAATAGATCAGCTAAATATTTGAAATCATACAATATCAATGTACAATCCAATAATCAATGAAAACAAGTGTTTTTGCCTTATCTTTGTGGAAAAGAGTTTAAATCCCTTGGAGGGCTTAAAAGTTATCGTAGATTATGCAGTTTATAGGTCACGTGTATGTATTTCACGGATTTACATTTTATTGAATTTTTTTTTTTTACTCTGCAGCATAATTTTATTTTTCTTTCTTTCTTTTTTTTTTTTTTTCAAAAAATCAAGTTCAACCCAAAGAATCCAGTAAAAATAAAAAAGGAGTTACTGGGTATGAAAGAATTTGGAAACAGAAACATTCCTCAGGAATGAGAAGAAAAGAAGAGTAATCAGGAGCACAGCAAATAGTGTTGCATCTGAATTTTTGAAGATCAACGTTGACTGGAAAAGATTGGAGCCATAAGGGAGTTCCACAAGCAGAAAACGAAACAGCATAGAACTTATGGCTACATCTAGCCAGCTTAACTGTAAATTAAATGAGATCTTGATACCAGTTAAATACTATGCTTAAATTCAAAACATCATGGTACCATAAAGAAAAACTCATCTGAACAATTACCATGAAAATATTTATAGAAAAGGCAGAGAGTGGCAACCTTATGGTGGTGGGAAAGTGACCATATCACTTGGTTTTCTTGCATGTACTGTCTTCTTTAACTTGAACCACAGATTTTCAGTCGAGTTTAGATCAAAACATTTACTAGGCCATTCCAAAATTGAAATTTATTTTTTTGAACCAATTTTTTGTGGATTTGCTTTGATGTTTTGGATCAATGTCCTGCTGAAACTCAACTTTCAAACCAAGGACAAAAAAAAGAAATTAGAAAACATTATTAAAGAGCAAGAACAACAGAAGAGTAATCAGGAGGACAGTAGAAAGTGGTTGACATTGCATTTAAATTTTTGAAGATTAAAATTGACTGGAAAGCATGGAGCCAGAAGAGAGTTCCAAAGTGATAAAATAAATTATTAGCATAGATCTTGCCAGGGATGGTGTGTATATAAGTCTCCCCACCCCTCTGTTTATATCGGTGAATTTTTTTTTCCATAATCATTTCACCCCAAGCAAGGCAGTAAAATTTAATGGTTTTACTAAGTTACAAAGAATAAGAAAAAATAAAAGAGAAACATTATTAAGGAGGAAGAACAATAAAAGCAGAATCAAGAATATAGTAGATAAAAATTGACATTGCATTTGAATTTTTGAAGATCAAAGTCGGCTGCTAAACATGGAACCAGAAGTGAGAGTTCCACAAGCAAAAAAAAAAGAAATGGTCAGTATAGAACTTACGGCTAACTGTAAATTGATGAGATCTCAATGCCAGTCAAGTACTGTGCTTAAATTCAAAAAGTCATGTTACGATAGTAAAGAACTCATTTGAACAATTACTATGAAAATATTTATAAAAAAGGCAGAGAGAGGCAACCTTATGGTGGTGGGAAAGTGACAGTATCATGTGGTTTTCTTGCATGTACTGTCTTCTTTAATGTTCAAAAAGCAAGAAAAAAATTGTTAGCATAGAACTTAAGGTTACATCTAGCCGATTCAACTGTAAATTGACGGTATCTCATCGCCAGTCTAGTATTGCACTTATTGAATATTTATTTCTAATATCGCAATATATTTCATCTTGTGCATAGTTTATTTTGTGTATAATTTTAATTAAATGCATTTTAGTGACACATAGGCATGATTTAGTATAAAATTAGTCTAACAGTTTGTCAGTGTAATAGTCATATTCAATATGGCTGCAGGTAGCATATATACTAGGGGTTGATATCTACATTTGCATTGTTGATATATTTACCTTCAGTCAGATGTGAAAATATGAACAGACAGATGGACGGACATAACCGAACATTTGGAGGCAGACAGACAGTTGGATATAGGTAGGCAGACAGGCAGAGATGGACAGGCAGACATAACACTGTATATGTGATATAAATCTCACAGAATAAATAATGTCAATAAATTTTTACAAAGAAAGTAAAAGAAAAAACATTGCTACCATTTTTTTTTTTTTATTTGTTTTTTTTTTCAAGCAAGTACCAAGGTCTTCATATTTAATCAATATAGATTTCTGCCTTGTAGAAAAAAAAACAAAATGTTGAAAATATTTCCGCAAATGGTTTATTTTAAGGCTAAATAGCAACCATCAATTTCTCCAGCACAGACAGCAACATTGTAAATTAAGTTGATGTGTGGGTAAATCAATCAGAGAAAATTGCGAAGACTGTATAGGCAGATTGAACTAATTCTGGAAATGGTAAAACAGAATCAGACTGAAGAGAGTAATAGCTGTTGTGGTTCTCTGGAATATTTTTCAGGCAAATCAGAAGAAAATAAAGTTTGTGGAGTGGAGGGGGGAAAGATACTGTTGACAAGTATTGGTCTTAGTTTAAATATGCCCAACTATTTAGATTGGCTACTTTACAATAAAGAATTGCAGTTCTGGGCTTCAGATTTGTGGGGGCAAGAAAAAAAGTATATAGAAAGGAAAAATAAATGACACTGAGAAAGATGTTGAATGATTGAGAAGGAATAAAACATCAGATTGGATAAAGAGAAAACTAGGAAGTGAAAAAAAATGTGAATAGATTGGATGAATGAAGAAAAAAATATATTGAATGGGTGATAAAAAGAAAATGGACAGAATGAATGAAGAAAAAAGCAAAAGAAAAATAGAATGAAGGAGACAAAAACAAAACGAACAAATGAAATAGAATGCAAAGAGAACGAATGAAAAAGGAACGCAAACGAATGAAAAAGGAACGCAAATGAATGAAAAAGGAACGCAAAGAGAATGAATGAAAAAATCTGAAGCGAATGAAAAAATCTAAAGCGAATGAAAAAATCTGAAGCGAATGAATGAAAAACCACATAAGGTAAGTTTTTAAGTAAAATAAGCAGAAATGAAAAGAGGAAGGGAAATGAAAAGAGGAAGGGAAATGAAAGAAGGAAGGGAAATGAAAGGAGGAAGGGAAATAAAAGGAGGAAGAGTTCGGCTGGGGAGAAATCATAAACAGAAATAAGTTAAGGCAAGAAAATAGAGAACAGAAAAAAAAGAGAGAAGTGAAAGCAAAAAACAAGAAGTGGAACTAAAAAAAGCCGTTTGCATTTTAGGTAAAAGTAAGAAAATGGAGGCCAGTGGGTCTAGTCTCAACCTGAAAGTTGATTAAAACAAACTTGATACTAGGTACTGACCAGGCCCAACGTTGCTTAACTTCGGTGATTGTACAGGGACTTGGCCCCCCAGTTAATAATTCCAAGCCATTACCCATTACACCACCCGCACATCCAAAGTTACAGCACCTGGTATTCCCAAATGGTCACCCATCTAGATACTGACCAGGCTCAACATTGCTTAACTTCAGTGATCATACAGGGACTTGGCTCCCCGGTTAATAATTCTCCATTACACCACCCACACATCCAAGGTTACACCACCTGGTATTCCCAAGTGGTCACCTATCTAGGGATTGACCAAGCTCAACATTGATAAGTTATGTGCTATTTACTTCTTGTCTTCAATATGTCATCTGAGTGTCAAATTTTCCCAGCCCTCTTTCCTCATTATGTACCCTATAAATTTCAACTATTTCTTCCTTATATGATGTATTCATCCTTTTTGTTTCTATTTTCTCCAAAACTGAAATTGTTCACATGTTCAGTTCATGGTATTCTCAGTATCCTTCTGTAGAACCACATTTCTGTTGTTTCAAGTCTTTTCTTCATCTGTGAGAAAATTATTCAACATTGACTGGCATATAGGAGGACTGATATTACATAACAGTTCAATACTCTTTTCTTTGTTTCTAATGAAATTTTTCTTTTTCTTAATACTTTCCTTAGCTTTTGGAAAGCTCTTTTGTTATCTCTTCCTTTCAGATTTCAATGTTACATTTTCCCTCCTCCGTTATAACAATTCCCAGATATTAACATTTTTATATTTGTTTGATTTTGATATTCCCAATTTGTAATATGCATGTTGGACTGTTCCCTTTTGCTAACAATCACATATTCCGTCTTCTTGCAATTGATGTTTTGTCCTTTAATTTTGCTTTCTTTCATTATCTTCTGTAGGAATTTTTCTAGTTTCCTTTCTATATCTGCTATGAACACTGTATCATCTGCATATCTTAGATTGTGGCTGCCAATAATGAAACCTGGTAGGACTTACTCTCCTCTGTTAAAGACTTCTCAGATATTTAGACTGTTTGATTTTGGCATCCCCAATTTGTTATTTTCATGTTGGGCTGTCCCTAGTAAAGGTTTTGAAAATTAGGATGAGGTAAACCGACAATAATACAACTAGGGATTGCAGTAAAAATGGAGTCAGTATTTGGTCTACAAAGTACCATTGCCATTACCTTGTGTAGCGAATCTATACATAACATCTACTCCTAGACGTATACTAATTAATGGTAGCATTAACCAAACAGTACCACATCACCCTGAAGCGCGTATGATTTATGCTTCTTCGTCTATATGTATTTACATTTTGACTTTCTTCTCTTCTCTCTAGAGATCTGTGTGTATTTTTTCTATGGAAGATCGAGAACTGTCTCTTTTGTTGGTGACGTCCTCTTCTTCACAATCGATGCTTGAATCGTCCAAACTGCCTTTGGTCTTCCAATGAATCATCATCATTCATTTTTTTCATTGGTCTATAGGGCTACCATTATTTTTTAGTTTTCATTGTCACAATTTCAGTTCTCTGTTATAACAATTCCCAGATATTAACATTTTTGTACTCGTTTGATTTTGACATCCCCAATTTGTAATATGCATGTTGGGCTGTTCCCTTTTGCTAACAATCACGTATTCCATCTTCTTGCAATTGATGTTTTGTCCTTTAATTTTGCTTTCTTTCATTATCTTCTGTAGGAGTTTTTGTAGTTTCCTTTCCATATTTGCTATGAACACTGTATCATCTGCATATCTTATGTTGTTAAGATTGTGGCTGCCAATAATCTCAGAATTGCTTCACTGTAAAGGCTGAATAAGTCTGGTGAGAAGATCCATCCTTGTCTGATAACCCTTTCTAGTTTTGTATATTTACTGAACTCATTCCTTTTGCTGACAACTATACATTCTAACTGCTTGAAATTGATGCTTAGTCCTTTCTTCTCACCTTCCTTTTCTTCCTTCTGTAGAATTATCTGTAGTCTCCTTTCTGACACAGTGCTGATAGCGAAGATATTTTTGACTACAAACTCAAAAAGAAGTAAATCTCATTCAAGTATTCTATGCTTAAACACACACACATTAAGTTCCAACATTTAAAATATTGCCAATTGAAGCACAAGTCAAAACTGACTTATTGTACAATAAACGTTCTTTGTCTTGCTCTTTCTTTAAACAATCTTTGGCTGACAATTTATTTTATTAGCCTGTTTTACTGAATAAACTATACATAATTTAATTTGTTACTTCTACCCCAACCCACACTCTTCAATTTCTTATGTTTTCTGCACTGACATACAGTATAGCCAGTCAAAACTTGTCCCATTTTGATAGCTTTTTGCCAAGCCAAATCAATTGTCCTCTCCTTATTTTAAATAGAAGTCGACTCCAGATATTCCAATAATGAACAGCCTGGTTAATGTTGGGTTGCATGCAGTCTTTAGATCCTTGTGGTTTATCAGTAATTCCCCAGTAGGGACCCCAATGCTGCATCACAGACTTAATGAATGACAGATTTATTTTATTTATTTATTTTTTTTACTGTTAGTTCACCAAATTCAAGGCCCAGAGGTTACTCAAGATAAGGGGTTACTCAGTGTATCAGCTTATCCTAGAGTTGACGATTATAGTGGTCAGAAAAGCATTCTCTAGGTACTTTGATACACAATGTAACAGTTCTGGAGAAGCTGTCTGAGTGGAACAGAACTATTACTATTGTTTGTTTAGTGGCACATCAACTCCTTATGGGTCATTTAATGCCAAAATTTAATTTTCTTGGGAGCATTAGTAATTTTTATAACAAAAATGTATTGCTGGTAATTTTTTTAATATGAAAATGTACTTTTATACCTTCATAGTGTTTTGACCCCAGTTTAGAGGTTTAAATATTTCCCCATAGTTGGGACCCTAACAGATGCTACCATCCTAGGTCAGGGTGAACCTGAGAACAACAGCAATAAAGATGTCATTCCATGCTCCTCAAAAACCTGCTGATCAGAGGCCTTGCTACTGGATGTAGTTTATCATCATACCCAGGACATACCAAAGTATTAGAAAGTGAATACGAATTATTTGCCACAGTGAACATGGCATAGCAAGTCCTAGCTGTGAAGGTCTGAACTGGTCAAACTAAGGATTGTCACTTGGCTCAACATATGCCATAATAGTGATTGAGGAGTGAAAAACTAGAGACATTTCCTCTATAAGATATGGGTTGCATGGTGGAGAACAATTCATCCTCCATAGGGCCACACAATTGCTTTTGAATAGTGATAGTGGATTGAGAGCCTAGAGACATTTCATCTATAAGATATGGGTTGCATGGTGGAGAACAATTCATCAGTGAGGATTGCGCAGCACCCACCCAGATATGGCAGCAATACTCCATTCTTATTCTGATCCAACTCCTGATCATGGTAGCTAGAGTTGGTGATTTTATGAAGCGATATCAGTGAACCAAGCATTTGTTCCAATATTTTCTGCAATGGCACAAATATACATGTTGCATTCAGGGTCAGGCCACTCCTGGGACAATATAATTTTTTTTAATTAAAATACTACTATATTTTTTTTTTTAATTTCTTACTTTTCACAACCAGTGACCGGCTTTTAATAAATGATGCATGCATTCACATGCAAAAAAAACAAAACAAAAAAAAAACTTAAATACTTCTTTTTAGACAGATGAATGAAACCTGAATGAAATCTAAATGAAAAAAAAAAAAAAGAAAATAAAGAGAGCTTTATATCACATGCATTATTCTGTAAACCTCTACCTTAGTTGCTCTTCTTTTATTAAGAAAAAAAATATATTCATGATAAAATCTATTTGTTAATTTTCAAAAAGCATTGGGAATCATAAAGATGCCTTCTAAAAGTTAAGCTAAATAAAAAAAAAGATATATATTGAACTGTTATATGATATATTCCTCCTATTTGGCAAAATTACTGGACAATTTCATCAAAAGATGAAGAAAATACTCGAATTTACATAAACAAAAGAAAATTTAAAATTGACTGTTATGTAATATCAGTCCTCCTATATGGCAGTGAATGCTAGACAATCTCCTCAAAGATGAAGAAGAGACTTAAAGTAGCAGGAACAAAGAAAAGAGTACTGATTGGTTACATAATATCAGTCCTCCTGGAAGCAACAGAAATGTGGTTCTACAGAACGATTCTGAGAATACTATGGACCAAGCATGTGAGCAATGATGAAGTTTTACAGAAAATGGAAACAAAAAGGATAGACTTATCAGGAATAGACAGTTGAAATTTCTTTTAAGAAACAAGTGAAAAAGGCTTGGAAAAACAAAATAATTAAAGACAAAGACAAGAGGAACAGATTTTAATGGATAACCTATCAAGAGAACCTGTGTAAATTCAGGTTGGGACTAGATTTAGGATAAATAATAAAAGGATAAAATTTATTAAGTGCTACAATGGACAGCAGATTGTGTAGAGCCATGATCCTCAACATCAAAGAAGTTAGTCAGCATGCACAGATGCTACACTGATCCAAGATTAAGAAGTGACACATTCATGTTAGTGTGCAAGGATACTACAATGATCTGAAAAATTAGTTGCAGTATAAAACTAAAGTTTAGCCTTGTGGAGGTGTTCATGTTAATGTTTAATGTAAGATGAGCAGGTGTCTGCAACAGGGATTATCTAAGCAACTGGACATACTCAGTAAACTAGCATTCATTATTATGTCTAGGTGGTGTGATGGCTAACAGCTCGGATATAAGAAATTGGAGAGTGCCCTTGGGAAAGGTATGAATTTATCTCTTCTCCCACCAGCTTTGGAGTAAATAGCAGGACATATATATCCTTTCACCATAAAACAAAGTTGAATCAATGTTTTCATTGTACTTTTTGTTTTTCCTTCCCAACTATGGATTAAATAGCACAGTAATGACAAAGTTTTAAATTATCAGTAATCTAAAATGAAAGTAAGTAAAAAAATCTACTTTGGGGATTCTCCTTCCCCCAACTATAGAATTAAATTCAAGTAAAAATATTTTTTTTAAAAAATATGGTTGATTTATGTCTGCCACAAAAAAGTAATGGCAAAAAACTGTGTGGATTATTCTGCTAATTCAATCTTGACTCAAAGAAATATGATTGCCTAAGCATGTCACATCACACATGGCAACTAAAGGAGGAGTCATTATTATTATTAACTGAAAATGTTGAACGGTTGAAACTTGATTTTAATATTTTTGTATAAGGTTGAAAATCAAAGTAATTTATTCAAAAATTTGAAGTTAGCAAAGTTCAACAAATCATTTGTTTAGTTGTGAAAAAAGAGAGAAAGAGACAAAATAGAATTTTCTGAATCAAGAAAGAAATTAAAGAGAGATTTAGAGAAAAAGAGAAAATAAGAAAATAGAAAGAAAAAGAAAAAGAGAAAAAAAAAAGAAAAAAGAAAAAAAGAAAAGAAAGAAAAAAAAAAAAAGAGAAATTCCCTAAAAAAAAAAAAAAAAAAGAGAAAAAAAAAGAAAATTAAATCTGAGAAAAAAAAAAGAAAAAGAATTGAAAAAAAGTCTGAGATACGAAAGAAAGAAAGAAAAATATTTGGAAAGAGAAACTGAGAAAAAAAAGAAAAAGAAAAAAAAAAAAGAAAGAAAAAGATAAAAAAAAAAAAAGAAAAGAAAGAAAAAAAAAATTTTAAAAAAGAAAGAAAGAGAGAAAAGAAAATGTTGAAAAAGAAAAGGAAAACAAATAGAGAAAGAAAAGGAAAAAATGAGAAAATGAAAAGAAAAAAAGAAGAAAAAAAAAAAAAAAGAATGAAAGAAATAAAGAAAGAAAACAAAAAAAAAAGAGAAAAAAAGAACACAAGAGAAAGAAAAAAAAAGAAAAATATCCCAGAAATATTGAGAAAAAAATAAAAGAAAAGAAGAAAAAAAAAGAAAGAAAAAGAGAAATTTTTAAAAAGGAGAGAAGAGAAAAATGTTAAAAAGAAAAGAATGAATTTAAGGACCCAAATTTGAAAGAAAAGAAAAAAGAAAAAAAAAAAAAAAACACTTAAAAAAAAAAAAAAATGAAAGAAAAAAAGAAAGAAAGAAAAAAAAAAAAGATTCAAAAATTGAAAGAGAAGAAACATAAGAAAAAAGAAAAAAAAAGAAAAAAGAAAAAAAGAAAGAAAGAAAGAAAAAATAAAAAAAAAGAGAAAAATTTTTTTATCCAAAAATTTATAATGAAAAAAAAAAAAGGAAAATCAATGAAAGAATAGAGAGAAGAAAATTAAATGAAAGAAAAAAAAAAACAAAAATTAAAAGAAAGATACAAAAAAAATAAAGGAGAAAAAAAAAAAAAAAGAAAGAAACAAAGAAAAAGAAAAAAAAAAGAATTTAAAATGAAAAAGAAAAAAAGAGAAAAGAAAAAAAAATAAGAGAAGAAAAAAGAGAAAAACTCAGAGAAAAAAAAAAGAAAAATATTGAAAAAAAAAAAGAGAAAAAGGTAAAAAGAGAGAGAAAAAATGAAAGAAAGAAAAGAAAGAAATAAAAAAAAAAAAGAAAAAAAAAAATTAAGAAAAAAATGAAACAAATTGAGAGAGAAAGAAAGATAAGAGAGAGAAAAGATTAAAGAGAAAAAGAGAGAGAAAAAAGAAAGAGAAAAAAAAAGAGAAAGAAAGAAAAGAAAAAAGAGAATCAAAGAGAAAAAAAGATTAAAAAGAAAAGAATTAAAAAAAAAGATAAGAGAGAAAGAAAAATAAAAAAAAGAAAGAGAAAGAAAGACATAAAGAAAAAGAAAGAGAAATTTTAGAAAATTTTAGAAAGAAAAAGATAAGAGAAAAAATTAAAAAAAGAAAGAGAGAAAGAGAAAAAAGAAGAAAAGAGAAAAGAGAGAGAGAAAAGAAAAAAGAAAAGAAAAAAAAAAAAGAAAGAGAGAGAAAAAAAGAAAAGAGAAAAAAAGAAAATAAAGAGAGAGAAAGAAAGAAAATGAAACACAGAGGAAAGAAGAAGAAAAGAGAAAAAGAAAAAGAAGAAAAAGAAAAAAGAAGAGAAAAAAAGAGAAAAATTTTTCGATAAAAATGAGAAAAATAAAAAAAAAAAGAGAGAAAGAAAAAAAGACATTTAAAAAAAGAGAACAGAGAAGAGAAGAAAAGACATTTTTAAAAAGAGAGAGAGAAAAAAAAAAAAAGAAAAAAGAGAGAGAGAAAGAAAGGAAAAAAGAGAGAAAGAGAGAAAAAAAAGGAAGAGAGAGAGAAAAAAGAAAAAAAAAAAAATTCAAATTAAAGGAAAAGAAAAGAAAGAAAAAAGATAAAAAAGAAAAGAGAGAGAAAAAAAGAAAAATAAGGATAGAAAGAGAGAGAAAGAGAGAGAAAAGAGAAAGAAAGAGAGAAAGAGAAAAAAGAAAAGAGAGAAAAGAAAAGAGAGAAGATAAAAAAAAGAAAAAAGAAAAAGAGAAAGACAGAAAGAAGAGAGAAAGAGAGAAAAGAGAGAAAGAGAGAGAAAAAGATACAAAGAAAGAGAGAGAAAAGAGAAAGAAAAGAGAGAGAGAGAGAAGAAAGAGAGAAAGAGAGAAAAAAGAGAGAGAGAAAAAAAAGAGAGAGAGAAAAGAGAAAAAAGAAAGAAAGAAAAAAATAAAAGAGAGAAAAGAAAAAAAGAAATTAGAGAGAGAGAGAAGAGAGAAAAAAGAGAGGAGAGAAAGAAAAAGAGAGATAGAGAAAAAAAAAAAAAGAAAGAGAGAGAAAAGAGAAAGAAAGAGAGAGAGAGAGAGATAAGAAAAAAGAAGAGAAAAGAAAAGAGAGAGAAAGAGAAAAAGATAAGAGATAAGAGAAAAGAGAGAAAGAAAGAAATTTTAGAGAAAGAGAAAAAAAAAGAGAAAAAGAAAAGAGAAAAGAAAAGAAAAAGGAGAGAGAGAGAGAGAAAAGAGAAGAAGAAAGAGAGAGAAAAAGAAAAAGAGAGAAGAGAGAAAAAGAGAGAGATAAAGAATTCAGAGAGAGAAAAGAAAAGGATAAAGAAAAGAGAATAAAAAGAGAGAAAGATATAAAAGATAGAGAGAAAGAGAAAGAGAAAAAAAAGAGAGAGAGAAGAGATGAGAAAAGAAAAAGAGAGAGAAAGAGAGAGAAAAGAAGAGAGAAAAGAGAGAAAGAAAGAGTGAAAGGATAAGAAAAGAGAAAGAGAGAGAGAGAGAAAGATTATGAGAGAGAGAGAAAGAGAGAAAAAAATGAGAAAAAAGAAAAAAGAGAGAAAAAAAAAAAAGAGAAAAAACAGAGGAGAAAAAAAGAAAGAGAGAAAAAAAGAAGAGAAAAAAGAAGAGAGAGAAAGAAAAATGAGAGAAAAAGAAAGAAAGAGAGAGAGAGAGAAGAAAATAAGGATTTCAGAGAGAGAGAAAGAAAAGAGAGAGAGAGAGAGAAAGAAAAAGAGAGAAAGAGAAAAAAAGAAAAGAAAAGAGAAGAGAGAGAGAGAAAAGATAAAAAAGAAGAGAGAAAGAAAAAAAAGGAAAGAGAGAGAAAGATTTGGATCATTTGAGATGAAAGAGAGAGAAAAAGAAAATCAGAGAGAGAAAGAGAAAGAGATAAAAAAAGAGAGAGAGAGAGAAATAGAGAGAAAGAGAAAGAGAGAGAGAAAAGAGAAATAGATACAGAGAGAGAGAGAAAAGAAAAGGATCCCAGAGAGAAAATTTCAGAAAATAAAAGAGATAGAGAGAGAGAAAGAGAAAGAATAAGGACAGAGAGAGAGAGAAAATATAAAGAGAAAAATGAAGAGAGAAGATAGGGAAAGATGAAAAGAGAGAAATGAGAAAGATAGAAAGAGAAAGAGAGAGAAAGAAAAAAATAAATTGAAAAAGAAAGAAAAGGACAGAGAGAGAAAGAAAAAAAAAGCTTTTCAGATCTGCTGACACACCTGGTCTGGTACTTTTGCTATATATCTGATTCTTGATAAAATACAAAGAAGAATCTGCAATGATATCAGTCCTGATCTGGCATCTAAGTTTCCAAAATTTTTGATTTAATAAAATGAAACAAAAAGGAAAATGACTTTATTAATTTGAGTAAAAAAAAATCTACTAGATTGGCAGCTAGGTCTCATCCTTTGCTTGGGGTGAAATGATTAGCAAAAAAGCTGACCATCACGACTTGCATGGAGAATTATGGAAAAATATTTTTTTGTCATTTTTTTAAATGTAAAAAAAAAATTTAAAAAAAAAAATAACATCCCATCCAGTTTTATGCATACATATGATGAAGAGACTTGAAGCAACATATGTGGTTCTACAGAAGGATGCTGAGAATACCATAGACCGAACATTTGAGCAACAATGTTTTTAGAAAAAAAAACAAAAGAAAAAAAGTTTAATATCAGGGATAGAGTTGAAATTTTTGAATTCTGTAATGAGGAAAAAAGAAAAAAAAAAATTTGATACTCAGAGGACAGATTGACATTGCTCAAAAACATGTAATTAAATATACATAACCAACTTGTGTAAATGGATTGCAGTTTACAAATGTTTAAGAGAGATAACAAAAATAAAAAATTTATTAAGAAAATTGTGGAAAGCCATGATCATCAACGTCCTGAAGGGACGTGGCTTATAGAAGAAGAACAAGCTTGAGTAAATGGACAGCAGAAGAAAGTTTAGGAAAGATAACAAAAATACTATTTATTAAGACCTATGAAGGACAGGAAATTGTAGAGAACCCTGATCGCCAACATCCTGAAGGGACACACGGCCCATTGAATAAGAAATGTAGAGACAATGAGACTTTGGCAAACTTGTTCAGCCAACATGTTTTGCCTCTTTAAGGCAGACATGGTCAGATTAGAATGAGAGACAACCCCATGAGAAAGGAATAAGTATGGGAAGTTTGCAGAATGCCAGAAAGTTTTGTTTTTTTTTCATTTTGAAATAGTTAATGTCTGATGGATTTGAAATTAGCATTCTAAGTAGATCTGTTTTGTTTTATGTTGTTTTTTTGTTTTTTTTAAAATATGAACAGATAGAGGAAAAAAACAAAAAAACAAACCAACTCAGAGTGGGTTAATTTCAAACCCACCTGGCATTAATGGCTTAAATAAATAAATAAAAAAAAACAACTTCCTGGCTGTAGCATATGATAAGATAATTTATTAACCTTTCTTCTTGAGGTGAACTGAGAAAGTCAAGGTAAACTATGGAGGATGCTAAGTGATATAATTTAATATCTAATAAACGAAATTGTGTAAATGTTGAATTTTTTATTTTCTTATTAGTTTATATATATTTATTTACTTTTTTTTTTATTAATGCAATATTATTATTATTTTAATTTGATAAATTATTTATCTATTTCAAATAATAGGTTTTGATTTAACTATTTTCTTTTAAATATTTAAATTTCTAAGGTTATACACGTTGGCTTGAAATTACACAGATAAAAAAAAATAAATATAAATAAATAAGAAAATAAAAAATTCAACAATAACATTTACTCAATATCTGTCTACATTTGCAAGATGAAGTATTTATCTATGGTATTTACATTGCTGAAATAAAATTTCAGTTCGACATTCCAACCACCTAAAAATATTGCAGGAGTTTCAACGGATAAAAGCGTTGTGATAAATATGGCAAAAGATGAGGATGATAACCATATCATCCTATCTTTGTGTAAATTCCATATTTGCTCAAAAAATCTATCAGCTGAACTATAAGGGAAAAGTTCTGGTGCTCAAACCTGTCTAAAAAAAAAAAATTTTGTCCTTCGGACTGATACTGGTTCTAATAACAACATTAAAGTCTAATAGATGTCAATTATCAATAAATCTCTTGTTAATTCCATCTCCATGTTTTTATAACTGCCTTAACCAGTTTTATTAAACTTTTGGACACTCTTTGGGTCTGTCATTGGATCTAACTAACACCTTTTATCCATTTTAAAGATTGACATAGCAAATGCAACTAGATCAAATCATATTCAGATCAGCAATAAAATTTTTTCATTCGAAATTCCAACCACCTAAGAAGGCCAGAGTGTCAATGGCCTAAACATTTAAAAAAATCTTCATCAACAAATTGAGGATGATATCTCCTTAAAAATGTTTGATAGTTAACATTGACTCAATTCATTAATTAAATGTTATTGTTGATTTTTTTATTTTCTTACTGGTTTAAATTTATTCATTATTGTATTGTTTCCTTTTGGTCAAGTGGGTGGTTGTTTTGAAGTTCTTACTTTGTAGACTTTACTGCTGGTCATAAAAGCAGTAGACATTTCTGGAGAACAATCACGTTGTCAAGACAAAACACTCAGTTGTAGAACAGGCTGAGCAAAGTCTCCTCCACCTTTAGAAAGAGAGCTATTCATGGTGCCATGGAGCATCTCATTGTGCTCAAGTGGGATAGTCCATTGCTTGGGCTGTGATTGGCTGCTGGTACATGAGTGGAGTATTTCTGTATAAATACCAGCTTGATTCCAGTCAGTTAGTTTGCAGGGTTTGTATTGAGTTACAACCTGCTTTATTTTTTGTCTGGCAGCTGGACGCTAGTTGGGACCCTTACGCCGGTAAGTGTTATTGTTCTAGTGTTATTCTACAACTTCAAACACAGAAAAGAAACCATTTAGGGCCCACTTGACTGTGTGTGCATTCTAAGCCAGGTTCTATTTTATCAAAAAATGTGATTATTAGACACCATGGAAGTAATACAGCATGTCCAAATTGCATGCTGAAAAGCTTTATAGCCATGGAGAACATTTCAGAGGAATACAAGCTTTACAAGCATGAAGGAATACATTTTGGATGAATACAAGCTTTATAGCCATGGAGGAATACATTTTGGAGGAATACAAGCTTTATAGCCATGGAGGAATACATTTTGATGCTTAGTGCCAGCTGTCTCTCTGAAAATGTAGCGCCATCTTTTATTTCAACTTCCTCCAGTTTATTCAAATTATGGAAATCAAAATACTCCCTCTTTTTATTTGATATTCCTCATTTATGGATGAGACAAGTGTAATCAGTCAACAGGGCGGGGTATTTTACGGCCAGGTGGAGCAGGGACATAATTATGGCAATGGGGTGCAAGGAGAGGGGAGTGTAATGTTCATTTTCATCATTATTAATAATTTTAAAAAGATAATTGTTTTGATTTTTTTTCCCTAATTAACCCACATTAACTTTCAGATAGATTAATTAGAATAATCCCAAAGTGAGAGAGAAGGGAGTCTTAATCCAATATTGGGATTAAGACAGAGAAAAATACACCAAAACTAGTTATAAGCTTTATTATTTATAAGCTTGCAGATTTCATAATCAATAACAAAAAAAAAAAAAAAAAAATTACTTATTACATACAGATACCTAACAATTTTAATCTTTTTCTATCTGCTGTGTCCCTTTAGGATATTGGCGATCATGGCTCTCCTTTGTCCTTCATAGCTCTTAATAATTTTTGTCTTTTTGCCATCTCTCCTGCTATCCATTCACTCAAACTTGTGTAAGTTGTGTGTTGCTTTCTTCTGGTTTTATTGTTTTCAATCTGTCCTGTGAGTATCAGATTTTCCAAGCCCTCTTTCCTCATTATGTGCCCCAGAAATTTCAGCTGTCTCTTCCTGATTTGAGGTATAAGTGTCCTTTTTGTTGCCATTGTCAATAGAACTTTGTTGTTGTTCACATGTTCAGTCAATGATATGCTCAGCATATGGATCAAAATTTCTTAAGCAATCTCAATATGCTGAAATGTGATTTGGGATCAAATGGCAGAATGGTAAGACGGAGAACAAATAAGAAACATTTATCAATCAAAGATGTTTCCCTTTTATTAAAGCAGTATTCTCTTATGAAGCTTTAATGAAAGTGAAACATGTTAGTATCTGTCTATATTTCTGAGATAAGGTATTATGTACACTATTTACATTATTCAGACTATTATCCTTATCTTTGTCACCATATTTACAATGTTTCAGCTTTTGTCTGCTCTGGCCTTCTTCAGGTGGTTAGAATGTCAAACTGAACCCTTTATTTCACTCACTGGGGTAGACTGTTCTAGTTCCACATGCCATGTTTAATGGATGTCAGTTATCAGTTATCTCCTGTTAATTCCCCTCTGAAAGTTCTCCCCGTCCTTAACCGGGTATTGAACTCACACTCTTTGGGTCCTGTCACTGGATCTAAATAACGCCTTTGTCCACTGTGCCATGTGTCCTTGAGGATAACTGACATCCATTAAACATGGCACGTGAAACTAGAACTGTCTATCCCAGTGAGCGAAATAAAGGGTTCAGTTTGACATTCCAACCACCTGAAGAAGGCCAGAGCGTACAATGGCCGAAATGTTGTGTTAATATGGCGACAAAGATAGGACAATAATCCGAATAATGTAAATATTGAAACATGTTAGATTGACAAATGTTTCCTATTTTTTCTTTGTCATCATGGTGTAATGTAGGGATTACCAAAATACAGCCTGTGATCAGTTCATCCAGCCCGCCACTTCACTGTGCCACAAATGAGCTAAAATATAATTATTTATATGGAATTATCAAAAGATTGTAGTTAAACTTACTATGTAGAAAAATTCAAAATAAATTTAAGTAAAATGCCAAAATTTGGCCAATCTGATTTTTGCATCTGACATTAATATAAGTTTCAGGAAAATCAGTCTTTTTGATATGCAAGTGCTTTTTGTGTAAGTACCTGCAATGGGTTTTCTAAGTGATTACAAGCCTGCTGCAGCAATCATGTTTTAACTAGCATTGCCATGTTTAAACTGGTTTAAAGAATACTGTATATAAAAAGGACTGACTTCAGTGAATTGTGTCATATTTTGCCTGAACTTATAAAATTTAAAGTATGTAAAGTTAGCACATGTAATGAGGTTGACTGATAAACATTTGGAAGCATTTCTCATAGTTGGATGCAGCAATACCAAAACAAATATTAATTATATCTTAAAAGATAAATACCAGTTTCACAAATCTTGCTAACCTTTTGTGTTGCTTAGTTTGTGAGATTCGGATACGTGCGCACTTGGTGTGATATAACTATTTTATTGCTATTGTCACCTTCTTGGATAACTTTTTAGTCAATAAGTATGTTTATTGTCTTTATTTTTTGGGCATTCAGTGTATTGTATTGAACAAAATAGTTATCCAGTCTATTCTTA